AGTCAGGGGAGAACATGACCTGGTAAGTCGCAAATGAGAATCTGAATCACCGATTGTGATTAATATACTAGCGAACGTCATCATTATTCTGCTTATCAGTCAATATGTCTTCAATAAGCTTTGCTTGGCGACACACTCTTCAAAAGTTATCTTTGTCTAGGTCTATTTTTGCTCAATATTTGAATAACATTTTTGATCTGCCATTGAACTATCAAGATCTCAGATATACAATACAACTATTACTCGTTCACTCAACAGTACTTTGTATCTACATCATTCACATCATGTGTTTGTGGTATCCACAAGTACTGGAAACAAATCGATCACAGATTTATAATAGTTGCATCATAATTTTAAGATCTTGTTGGAACTGTTGTTAAATAATAAATTAAGTGAATAATCAAACTGAGAGGTTACTGGCCCAGTAACATCGAATTTACAAATACAGTTTTGTAATTGGCAATAAATTGAAAACTACAATAGCACAATTTATATTTGAACGGCAATAATTACAAAAATACTGTAAATGATCTTTTTCCCCAACAAATAAAGTTGTGTTGATTAACTAATGCATAATAATATACATTGTACTGACCTTTGTATAGCCTTTCCCATTCAGAATTAGAAATTCATACAAGCCACGAGTCGCACCGGATAAACCTCCTTCTAATATAGTTTATAATGGCCAAATGGACAACAGTGAATGTATGTAACTTTACTTATATATAGTACAGCTAATAATATATAAACATGTGTATTATTATTGACAGTTCTTTTCATGCAAAATGTCTTGAGAATTAAAGATTAAATTTATTGACCAATTTATTTTAAGGTCGATTGACAGTTGTCGCGAATCTATTGTATGATGAATTAGAAATTGATCAATTCAAGCAAGTGCTTTCTGACGATAAATTGCAAGGCGGTTGTAAATTTGGTGGTGATCACTTTTATATTAAACCGACAATTGATAATGTAAGTATCGATATATCTTTTTTAAATGATTGTGACTTTGTGCAGTGAGCTTCGTTCATATGAATTATTTGACAATGTTATTATAATGAAATTAGTATTTACATTCGTGATTATTAGTAAACTATCACAACACATATGAACATTATCGCAGATTGAAGTGATATGAAAAACATTTTCCGTATTTGACGTTTCTTGAAGATGAAATCGTATATTTAATGTACATTGAATTATATTTAATCAAATTTCAGGGTTCTTTTAGCAATGATGCTACAAATGCTACAAGTAATGGCGATGTGATAATTGAATATTCGAGTGTTGAACATGCCTTTCGAATTGTTTTTAGTCACTTTACTTCTGATAAAGTAGACAAAGGAATGGAGTGCTATTTCACAAATATCCCTGACGTTATCCAAAAATTCCACTTGACAACTGTGCATGCATTTTATAATATAGACGTGTTAGGTGAGATTCCATTTCTTATCAATTAACGAGCATATGTGTTAACACCCTGGGATTTATTAACTTTACTTTATTCTAAACTATATAATAAGTAAACATGTGTTGAGTTCATATAATAGTAATAATATTTTAGAGTCATATTGTGCATTGTATATATCGTAGCATTTTTGTTCATATGTATCTTCTTATCATTCAAAATTCTGTAAAAATTATCTTTGAATTGCCTTCGCATTTCTATCGCCCGTTTGTGTATTCAAAACAGTTCATCAAAATACGTGCTTAGGGTTTGTTGACAATGAGACTATACTATTTATCCTGGCACGCTCGCCAATTGTCAGGCAAGCCGCACATGCAATATAAATAACAAGCAGAAATCACGCCAGTGTGCGTTACAGAATTAATACGTTTTATTAAGCTAGTAGTGATTTCTATACACAACGGGATGATGCTAAGGGAAATATTACTAGTTACATTAATACATGTCACAATCCATAAAACGGCTTACAATTACAAGACAAACTAGACTACACGCTCATCAAAATTAGAATAATGCGTAAAGCATACACGTTATAAGTACAAGCAGTAAATTAAGAACTGGCATTATAAGTTGTTAATACAACCGGTTAGACCTAATGAACACGTCACACAATAACAAGTTCAGACTGTCCTAATGTCCGCTAAGTTCAAAGGTTCACTTGCTCGACACTTTTACTTCACTCCACACAATCCAGAATTCCACTTCACAGCCTCTCACTCAGACTGCGCTCCATGCTCCATGCAATACGACGGCTCACCACTAACAGGTCATCTGGAAAAGGGACAAGTACATTCCATAATACCTGCAGTTTTAAACACAACTAAAGAAACATAATATGGATATATTTAATCGGGCTACCGTACCCAGTACAGTTGAAAGAACTACCAAGAAACGATTAAACTGAAACTTACAGTTTCTATGTGCTGGCGTCTTGTCCATCTCCCTCACCAAAAGAATCTCCAAGTCTCAGGAATATCCCCAAGCTGCAATGTGGCAGACCTCTACTCTATATAATTGGCTGACCTAATACAGCGAAGTCACCACTGACTCCCACCAATTTAAAGCCTGTACGCCTTGCCAGTTGATAGTAAAATTACGAGTCATCAGGAGTAGAATTGCAGGAGATGCTCAATCCTGGACAACTGACCACATCACACTGCAGAATTACCAAGCACACTGACCTACTTTGCATCACAAAGGCAGTTCTATTCATCACTTCAGCCTACTCTAGAAAACTTCCATACACCCACATGTAAGTGCATAACACTAACTTTCAATTCACACTCGCGTACCAGCACAACTGCAAATTAAACTATGACCTGATTTATGTACACCTGTACACTAATTACTAAGTAATATACTCAGCAATATTAAGTATATTATGTGATGAGTTTATTCAATTAAGTTACTTTTACAGTACTATAACCTACATACACAAATGACTAGACAATAACAAATAACACCAAAAATAAGTGACAACTTGTCACAGTATTGTACAAATCACAAGAAATACTACTATACTCATGTTGCATATGTTTGAGCTGCATATTTTGCTATTCTGTCATGTGTTGTTACAGGTTGTCCTGAAGGGAAATTTGGCGGTAATTGTCAATATGAGTGTTATTGCCAGAACGGAGCAACATGCCATATCTTCAATGGTGCATGCAAATGTACCACTGGATGGAAGGGAATAGCCTGTGATATAGGTATGAATTTATGTATAATTAAAGATTATGTATTTTTAAAGTAATACTGTCGAATATATTGTTTTAACAGGCATGTGTCTTTATTTAGTTGCACCTAGTGTAGTGTTCACTGCACATAAATTCTACTCTTATGTTGGCCCGAGACTTATCATTCGTCTGCAATTTCAACCACCTAAAAGCCTCTGATATTTATGAAAGAAGCTTGCATCACAATGCTAATATTCTAGAAAAGAATACAGTGACTTTCAATAATGATACACGAATGCACATCTGGAATAAATGGGACAGGTGAGATTGAAAAGAACGAAATTTTCCTGTATATCTATTATCATTATACCACTCTTGGTCATGTGACCCATTATTCTGGCCGTTGGTTTAATACTGTAAACCTTTAGTCATTAAGTAGATTGTGAGTTGATTGTAAAACGTATTCATAAAATGCAGATAGTAATATCTACAGATAACTGATAGTTAAAGTACGCACACGTGAATACAATCCGTAGATATCAGACCATATATAGACCCGGAAGATCGTTAGTGTGTGTCGTCAAACGACGTATCCTGTCTTAAGAATAGCTAATTATGCGGGTGATACTTTACGTTTTTCTGTGTGTGTCATTTAAGAAAATTTGAATGACAATGAACATGTATTATCTTAGCGTTGCCATTCTTTTACTGGGCCAATCTAACAAATTTCTGCCTCACATCCTGAAAACACTTTATGAACGGTTGGTACGTCATTACATCGATTGTCATTATCACTGTCATATGATACAATCTTATGTTGTGCATGCTTTTATATGGTAGATTACCTAATAAAAATGCTCATGGCCAATGATTGTACTATCCTTGCTATAGGGAAATTAAAACAGCTTTTTATGATCTTCATTAATATTGAATTTTGTGTAGTGTACCAAGTTTCGCTGATTCCTTTTATTGTTTGCTCCAATTCGCTACAGATTTGGAGTAGAAATTTACTCTGTTGCTGACCAAGACGCTGGAATATATGAATGTAATGTAGTTGACATATATGGTGAAGTGTACAAAGATTACTCGACTCTGATAGTGACAGGTAAGACATTTTTCATTTTTGGGCTGAATAGAGGTCTTATAGTGTATGATATAAGATTCATACTAACCATGATGCGCATCACGAATTATAAATGTTATTTTTAGGATGCGAAAATAATCGTTGGGGTGCAATATGTGATAAAAATTGTAATTGTGAAAATGGTGGTAACTGCAGTCGTAAAGATGGTTGTATTTGTAGTCAGGGGTGGAATGGAACATACTGCACAGAAGGTGAGTCTGAGTAACGTTGGTGAAATGTTTTATCCGCTGCGATCAAAGTTTAATACAACATCAAGTCAACGATTTTACTGTTATAGAGCAAATTTTAGATTGGTTTTGTGTTCTGCACGGAATAAACTCGATATAACATAACTAACCTAATCACAGGTCCATGCGCCAGCTAACCCCTTATTTGTTGTGATTATCAGATGTAGGAGCTCCGGAATTCGTGTTTTGTCCGCACAACATCACGGCATTATTAGATGAAGGGTCATTGTCCACTGCAGTCACGTGGCCAAAAGTTGAAGTCAATGACAATTCAGGACTGTTTAATCTGACATCAAACCATGAAGCAGGAGAACAATTTATCATAGGAATACACAACATATTGTACACAGCAGTAGATATTCATGGAAATACTGCCTTGTGTAAATTCAGTGTAAATGTGGACGCTGTCAATATTGGAACAACTGTGAAAACTGTGTTTATTGTGACTTCACTCGTACCGGTAGTCTTGTTTAGTTTCGGTTCTGTTGTGTGTCTCTGATACAGAAAGAATAAACTAATGTATCCAGCGCTATTTGGTAGATCTGAGGATGATGGTGAGTACATATGATGAGGTTACTACGAGGATACTGAAAAGTATGCACGAAGACAGTACAGCGAGAGTATCGACCGACACGTACTGTCTGTGTAATGAGAGGGCCGAAATCCAAAAAGTTTAGAACAAAATCAGCGAACTTCTTTGTGTGGAGTCCGGTCAAACTCTGTTGGCAGCCATGTTCGGTTTTATTATTGAAAGACGCTTACGCGCGTAATCATTTCATATTTGGATTCCTAATATCGTACAATGAAAATACCCCGTAGAATAACGCAAAATGACGTCACGCTTTAACTTATGACGTTACGGTGACAGGTGTATAATAACGTGTCCTATTTTGATTAACAGTGTATTATTTAATGTCCACCGTTAAACGTCATCGTTAGTATATTTGTTTTACAGATGATAAGGAATGGGATGCATTTGTAGCTGTTAGAGGGGGTACGGAAGATGAAACATTTGTATATAAAGAATTATTGCACGAATTAGAGGAAAATAATGATTATAAAGTAAATATTCATCATAGAGATTTCACTCCTGGAATACGTAAGTAAATTACAGACTTTGCCTAATGATAATCATTCAAATACACATTAATAAATATTGTCACGCTTCCCGCATATGTGACATAGATTTTATTTTAAAAAGGTATTTACATCAGAATAATTCGAGTGTACTCACCTTGATA